AACAAACAAGGATTCCCCCCCCACCACCACCTCTATCCTGCACATGCTCAGTTCATCGGGGTCAGACAGCCTGGTGTCAATGTGAAGGTGACGCCTGGTTTATTTCCAGAACCACCAGCAGGGGGAGCTGCAGGAAACAGATTTCTGGACACTAACTCTGACACGTGACTGTGTGCAGGCTATTTGCCTTTGTGTATGTTGTTGATGCAGTGTAACTAGTTAATAATAACCAAACCCAACAATCATATGACCCCCTATGAGCAGCACTTTGGTGACAGTGGGAAGGAAAAACTCCCCTTTAACAGGAAGAAACCTCCAGCAGTAGAAACCTCAGTAGTGCACACAGCTGATGGAGCAGTTTTTATCAACAGTAGATAACCTCCACCCGCTGGCTGTCCGAGCTGAGGCAGTCAGAGAGCCGTCTCGTCACGTTTAGCCACGTTTGTGTCACCAGAAGAAACTCCAGACATCGAGAGGTGAAGAAGTCATTCAGTCTTATGTTAGTGACCGGCCATGAACCAGAGCAGCCTGCTTCAGACAGGTCACAGGCCGGATGGGATGCACAACCCCGGGGATGAAGGCTCCGCCCTCCCTCTGCTGAGGCTGACAGGGACATGTGGAGCTCAGGTACGATCCCGCTGGCGAGGAACCACCTGAGGTCCAGGACCACAAGAACGCAGCAATCCCTCATTAGACAAGGACTAAACTTCACCAACACACCAGCCCGTTTCACCGTCTGTGGTTGTGGAATCATGCTGCAGTATCACCTGTGCAGGTAAATGTTGTATGGGTGGTGTTCAGGGTTAGCTTTGTCAGACTGTCAGACACTAAGCTGTGACTGAAACATACCTGGAGGATGTGTGGACTGTCCTTGTGCCTGATGAAGGTCAGTCTGAAGCGCTGGGGCGCCCCCTGCAGGCAGCAGCAGCACAGAAAGGTTTTCCAGCTGGGGGCGACTGCCCTGAGGTCTGATCGAATTAAAGTCTGTGAGAAAATGAACATCCTGATGACCTCTGACCTCCGTGAACTCTTTACTTGCTGCTTTCAGGTGTTTTGGGGTGAGACATGAAGTTTATTTTGGAGGAACAGGAAGCAGCGCACCATAAACGAGATCAGGTTTTTCTGTTTTATGGGCGGAGCCTCTGAGCTGTTAAATCAGTCTCATCCCGAAATATTTTATTACTTGAACCTTGGCAGACACCCCGACACCTAAGTAAGTAAAGTTTATTTATGAAGCGCTTTTCATAGACAGTCACACAGCGCTGTACGCGAAGGTTAAGACAAACAGAACGTCAGTAATAAAACAGACAATATAAACAATATAAAAGGTTAAATGTAAATAAAAAATGGCGTCGATCAACAGAAGGCTTGTTTAAACTGAAACAGCCGCTACACTTTGTACAGCTTGGAGGCAAGAAAGAGAAGATCTGTCCAAGCTGGTAACAGGACGTTACAATCATCTAAACAATGACACAAACGCACGAACACTTTTTCAGATCAGCTGAGAAGAAGTTTAGAAATGTTCCTTAAATGAAAGAAACAGGAGACAGATTTTACATGCGAGTCGAGCCCAGAGAAGAATCAGATATTTGAACCTGACTGACTTCAGACTGTAGTCCAGGATGAGTCACGATCGTTGTCTCGGTCTGTTTGTGTTTAAAACAAGGCAGCTGTTAGAAAGCCAATCAGAAACCTGAGTTAAGCACTGGACTAGGGTGGACAGCGAATCAGCTGAGCAGGCTGACACATGCAGCTGAATGTCATCGGCATAGAAATGATAAATGACTGAATAATGCAGCGAATGGAAGCATGAAGAAAGAAAATAATAATGGACCCAAAACTGAACCCTGTGGAACCCCGCAGGTCAGGGGGCGACGTTAGAGGTGAAGCTGTCAGTCCTAACAGTAAAGCTGTCTGATAGGTAGGAAGGAAATCAGGTAAGGCGGAGCCAGATATAAGCGCCAAAACCTGTTAGCCTGTTAGCGTTAGGATTTCTATCGAAGGATGCGCTGAGAGGAAAACGATCACAGAACCGTTCCTGCATCAGAACCATCAACAGATCCTCAGAGATCCGGTCAGCCGCACTGAAAGGGTCAAAAATCTGTAATCTGCACGTCTGCGCTGACAGGAAGTGATGTCACTTGTTTTTCACATTCAGACCAATCAGAAGAAAATCAGCTTCATCTTCAGTTCATGATTCCCAGTTTGCCCAGTAAGTCCAGTCCAGTCTGAGCCGCCAGCAGAGACGCCATGCTGCCGCAGCCCGAGCTCGCCGCCACATCATACGCCGTCTGACCCGCAGCGTTCCTCCGCCTCACGTTGGCCTTACAGCTGAAACCAGGGACAGAGAGGATGATGTCATTATGACGAGTGGGAGGAGCAACAACTGCAGGTACTGTGCTGCATTCAATGTCAGTCAGACCCACTGTTGCCACACCAACCGTCTCACTCTGGCTCTGAAACCTGCAGGCGGCCGTGTTTACACAGAGACACTGAATGCAGCACTCAGACTCACCTGAGCAGGACCTCAGCACACGGCACACCTGCAGACCCCAGTGCTGCAGCTTCATGCAGAGCAGTGTTCTTCATCCTGAGGAGGAGGAGGAGTGTCACCACACACGAGCATCACAGGGGCTAAATAATGGAAGCTAGTAGCTACAAGGACCAATCAGAGGGCTCCATCAGCACCTCATCCAGAATCTGTTTCAGGTAAGTACAGTGAAGTGGGCGGAGTCTATGGGATACGTTTACCCTTAGCCAGCAGTTTCCGGTTTGGGGTTGCTGCTCTGGCACTGGGGGCGGGCCCTCAGGAGACACACCTGTGGGATCACATGTCACCTTGTTCTAGCTGTAAACAAAAATAAAAACCTGGTCTTACCGTCCAGACTGTTGGTCGACATCGGCACCTCGCTGCACCAAAACAGGTAGGACGTCACGGTGACCATTTACCACGGCAACTGCCAAGGCGTGTAGGCCATCGCTCCGGCAGCAGGAAGGGTCCGCACCCTGGCAAACAACCACACACACAAATGTAAAGCGTGTCAGGTGACCCTGAGCAGGCTGTCGGTTGCACGCAGAGGCGGGTACCTGGTCCAGGAGCTGCTGGATGACGCCGACCTCACCTCGACCCGGACCCAGCTCCATCAGCAGCTGAACGTCCTTCACCTGCAGCCAGACAGCCAATCAGAGAGGAGCATGAACAGGTACAATCAGCGAGGAAGTGAACTCAGCTGTGGGCGGAATTTCTCACCGGCGGTTTGGGCATCAGGTAAGGTTTGGAGGGTGGAGCCGAGAGCTGGTCACTTCCTGTCCGACACCAAAATAAAAGCACAGATCGATCAGCAGCTTCTGATTGGCTGATGTAAATGAAAAATCAATCACACTTTGTTGCTAACTGACGTGCTATCAGCTCAGCTCAGGTGTAATGATACCACATAAAGAGGTCCCGCCCCTTTCACACTCTACTCTGTTCTGACTGGCCAACACCAGAGCACTCCCCAGCAGGCATCTGACCAATAACATGCCTGCTGGTTAATCGGACCAACACAGGTGTAAGTCTGAGGTCGGTTTTGGTGAAATCCGAGGAATCTAATTGGCTGAAATGTTGAGCTGAATGTCTGTGTGTCACCTGTCTCTCACCTGTCCACGCTGTTCGCTCTGCAACGCTGCTCAGAGTCTTGGTCCAGCTGGCGAGCTCAAATCCTCCACCTGGAGAGCCCATGCCGTCATCGTCAGCACCCACCTGAGACCACACCCACTCGTTAAACTCGTTAAATGACCACGATGTCCTACACTCAGCCCACCTGTTCCAAACGCACCTGTTTCTCTTTAAGCTCGGCTGCTGCAAAGCTGACGGTCAGACTGACCTCGTGGCGATCCTCCTGAATCACCGCAGAGACCATCTGCAAGGAAACACCACAGGAAGTGACCTGCCTGCACCGGCTCATGTAAAACCACCTTCTGATTTAACACACGGCGATGTCACTGCTGGACAGGTGAAGGGCGTGCGAGGTGCGATTTACCCGGCCCAGACGAGGCTCTCCCAGCAGCGCCCTGAAGGGGGCGTTGTTCTGGGCATAGCTCCTCAGGTGGGCGCATACGTGATCCAGCTGCTTCCTCCAGTAACCTGAACATGACAGGTGTCACACACGGAACGACGCCTCTGTAACCCCGCCCCCGACACTGAGACTGTGAGTTGGGTTTTACCTCGTCCCGGGCTGATGGCGGTGAGCGGTGGGTGGCGGTCGCTCTGCACCTGCTTCCTGAGGAGCTGTAGCGCTCTGTGCTGCTCCTTCCTCTGCAGCTCAGTGCCTGATGGGTAATAGAGTCCTACAGTCTGTGTGCACTGATCCACAGTGGGTGTGGCGATCTTCACACTTCGCGGAGGGCGCAAAGAGGCAGTGGCCCGCCAGGTGGCGCCACAGGCAGTCTGCACTCCCACCTGCACACAAAAGGAGGGAGCTGACTGGCTGGAATCGAAGGAAACACGTGGAAGGCGTGATGTCAACATACCGTTAGTTTGGCGGCGCCCTTGACCGATCGTGTGATGTCACCGCAGGATCCGAGTGGGACCGGTGCTTCCAGGAAGATGCCGCAGGCGGTGCAGTAGGAAGCGTACGGGTGTGCACTTGCTCCACAGCGCCGACACGTCACACAGCGGGCAGCGTGGGCGGGCTGAAAACACACACCATCACTACAAATCCCACAATGCCTCACTCCACACTGCTGTAGGCGTCAGGTGTGCGTTCACCTTGGAGCCGCACCAGTCGCAGAATCTCGCGTCGCTCCGGTTTAAACGTTTACATCTGGTGCAGGACAACATCCTGGTGTGCGCTCCGGGGTCAGAGGGCACAGAGCTCCTGACTCCGCCCACCTGAAGCCACAAGGAGTAAAGAGAGCGTAAACTGTCTGTAGGTGAGGCTGTACAGGTGTGGTCAGCAGCTGCTTACCTGCTGCAAGCGGCTCTCGCAGGTCAGACAGCTGAAGGCGTCAGCCGGGTTCCCACTTCCACAGCAGACACACATCACATGACCCTGCATCACAGGTAAACACCA